AGAATTCATGTCAAAAATTGATGATTAACTTCTAAGAAACTAAGCACATGAATATCACCTCCTCGCTTTAAGGAAAACGCCATTATTTGCCAAAAGTATCAAAACCTAGAATTTTCAGTATCCATCCAGCTGTATCTAATCACAAAATCCACTTCAATTCGCATAATTACTTTCAAAATGTCATCTTGACATGTTCAAGTGGACATTATTACAAGCAAAACACAATCTGAAGCTACTCAAATCGACTACTGCGTAGTTGACATACACAAACATCCAGTTAATTACATTGAATTCTTCCAGCTGCATTATCAAGGTTGATTCATGGTTTTTCATTGGAAAAAATAATCATCAAAGTTTCCACCCTCGAGTCTCATTGCTGTTTATTGCAATTTTATTTCAATCTTTAATTGAAAAACACTTTTGATTTTGTATGAAATTTAATTTTATTTCCCAATAATCACTTGAGAATAATTTTTTTAAAACAGAAACATGAGGAAATAAGAAAAAATACTCTTTGAAATGTTCATTCACGCTTTTGCTAATAAAACATTTTGTTTACGCGAATTTTACATTCACGAGTGAGAGTATGTGGCTCGCCGAGGAGAAAGACAGTCTCGAGAGATTTTTTGTAGTGAATTGATCACATGTTGTGTCTAATTATAGATGTGGATGGGGATCTGAAAGGTTTTGTTGGAGATCTTAGGGATCAATTCAGTAGAAACTAAGGTATTTTGGATCTTTTGGCTAGAGACAAGAGTCTATGGGACTTGAAAAGCTACAGACGATAGTTTTTGGGACCTGAAAAGCTAAAGACGAGAGTTTTTAAACTTTCAAGGCTACAGATGACGCTCATTAGGATAAGAAAGCTAAAAACTAAAATACTTGGTCTCTATAGCATTAAGCATGAAGATATTTCGATTTTATGAGTAGAAATGAGGCTATTTAGGTCCTGGAAAGCTACCAATGAGGTTATTTAGATCTTGAAGGCTACAGAAAGCTTCAGAAGGCTAACCATAGAATCAAAAATCTATTAATAGCGATGTTTTAAAATTTTGAGCTTGAAAAAGTGAGTCTTGAGAGTCAGTTGTCTTACAGGAGCAACATAGTGTCATTTTCCAATGTCCATCACTTCCAAATGCCCCCCAAAAATTCTTAAATTGAATTAAATGAAAATCAAGCATGCTTATGTGATTAGATCAACTAGTTTATTGCTTGTCGTCATCATAATACAAACAAACAAGCTACAACTTGTTACTACAATTTTTTTTTTTTTCGTGGGGCTCGACTCTCTCACTAGATTAAAAACTTCGTTGCTGCAAGTGTGATAACAATTTATCATGACAATAATTGATGAGAGAGATAAAAAAAATGTATTTTATATTTTCGTTAAGAGAAGCTAGGAGAGAAATGAGAGATACTTCGCATTATTTATATTGCGGCTATTTACATCAGCATTCGCACACATTTCGCCCACACATTTTCGCAATCATGCATCTGAAAATATTTTATATTTGTTCCATGAGGCAATTTATTCACTCATCACACGACACACGCGTTCATCGGCTCCCTCAAAATTGTTTGTTGCTATTTTTCTATGATTTGTTGGGGGGTTGTTGTCATTTTAACTGTCTGGCTGTTTTGGCTTAAGCATATATTTTTGTTTCTGGTTTCTATCATTGTGTAGCGTCAAAGATTTGAATATAGACAGTCAGCATGAAAGTGCACAATGTTTCTTTTGAGATACTCTCTCCCAAACAAAACACAAGAAAATATTTTCGGAATGATAAAAACTTAATTGCGACGTTTTAAATTCCTTTATTTCTATTAAGTGGAACTGTCAATGTGTATTAAATTTGTGATGAAATTCATTGCAAGCTTAAACAATTGAATGCAATCTAATCTAAAGTTTTGATTACTGCAGGTTTGATGATACTCATTTATCACATGACTACCAAGTTCTGTGTTCTTAAAATTATTCAAAAAGTAAGGGTTTTAAATAAATTGTCTGAACGGTGTCTATTGGGTATTAATAATAGCTATGATTGTCTCGTGATGTCGTTTTCGGCGTTTATTGGTGTGAATGTGGAGCTCACTGATACTTTACTTTTACAATAATAATGAAAAAAATCTCAAACAAATCTTTTCGATTCTTGGAAATTTTTTAAAATTTGGAATCTAGGTTGTTCTTCTCTGTGTAGATATCAGAAAAGACATGGATCTTTTCACAAGTAGGGTTAGGCAAAAATTTCTGGTATCAAAAACCATCCTGATTCTTACTTTGATCGCAACTTCCAAAATGGTTCCTAATAATTTAGGCTGTTATCTGCGAACTTTTGAGCGGGGCAGTCCCACCTTTTTGAACAAAACCCCTTATAAAATCCATTTATATCCCGCTTTTTTGAACCTATCCCGAGCGGCACAAGGTGGCAGGTGTCAGTCATATGACTGTTATATGATCGTTTTGAAATGGCAGATAACAGTTATATGACGGTTATTTGGTAGCAGTTATATGACAATTTTATAAAACTGTTATATGACTGTCATGTGACTGCCATGAGAAAAAAATTGATCACAGTTATCAATGTTTTTTTGAAAAATTATGAAAAAATTCATTTTAAATCGTGACTTTGAAGTGAAAAGTTTATTTTTTTTTGACCTTTGAAATTCATATCGGTGAGGACTTAATAAGAAGGATGGACTTTAGTAGAAGGTGAGCAAAATATTTAAAAATTGTTTATATATTATTTTAAAGCATTCAAAAATATTATACAGGAACGAATCTTTTTCAAGATATATCAATTGAAGAGCTTCAAGAACTTTTGATGAATTAAGAGCAGTATCAAATGCTTTACAAACAGGAATCCGCAACGCACGATGGAGCAGAAAAAGCCGAAAAAGTTAATTTAATGCATTTTTTTCATCATTTGGATTATTTTTGATGTTTAATAAACACAAACTTTAAACCCCTTAATATTTTTGTAATTTTTTATATTCATATTTCAGCCTTAAATTGCCATATTATTGATTTAAAATTGCCATAAAATTGTCATCTCATTGCCATATAATTGCCATTTAACTGAAATTTGATTAAAGAACTGCCATCTGTGCCTGTCATAAAACTGCCTAGAAACTGTCATATAACAGTTTCCGTTTTGTGTCAATTTTTATTGATGGCAGTCATATGGCAGTCATATGGATTACTTTATCATACTATTTGGTTGACATATCGTCAACATCGATAGCAATTATCTGTCATATGACTGCCATAAAGCAGTTTTTATTGCCATCAAACGATGGCAATTGACACGTGGCAGCTGACATATGGCAGTCATATGACAGTTATATGACACCTTTGTGCCGCTCGGGTATTTTTCTTGGAAAATGCTTGAAATTTGGTCTGTCCCTCTTTTTTACCGAGCATGTCCCGCTTTTGATCTAAAATCGGCAAAACCAATAATTGGCTTATTCCTACACAACTGTGACTTTAAAATCTATTTTAAAAATTTGTTATCATCAACAAATTCAAAATTTCACAACACACGTCATTAGAAAGCAATAACCTCAATCTAAATTCATACTTGTTGTTAAGTCTCAAAACTGAAAGTATCAAATATCTGTAAACAAATTTTCATGCTATAATAAGGTCTACATTCATGCAAACAGATGGCAAGAACCGCAAAAAATATCATTCAATAACAAACTGAATAAACTACGCTACAGACATCGACTAGTGACAACAACTGTACTTGTTTTTCTTTTTGATTTAATTTTTGAAGGCAATTTTGCGATTTTATGAGGAACAAAATATTTTATCTGCAAACACAAAAAAAGTTGTATAGTCGTCAAAAAGTAAGATTGTGTAAACACAGTATTATGCAAAAAAAATAATCACTGAGAGAAATAAATGAAAGTAAATATTTTGAGTATGAATCTGTTCTTTATGATTTTTTTTTGTTTCAGGAAGAGATTAGAAAGTGATCTAAAATTAGAACAAGACGAACACAATAGGAGATGAGACCAACTGACCTTGACAAATGAGAACGAAGTGAAAATAGCTTCTATTTAAAGCATGAATTGTTATTTATTAATGAATCACATTTAATAATTCACTTGTTAATTGATATATGACGCAAATCATCTTTTTTGTTCTAGAATTTCATATCGTGAGTCGTACGTAAATGACGTTAATCGATGGACTAGGGTTCTATTATATTTAAATGCCTATTCTTTTTCCTTGTTATTGCTTATGACTAGCTGAATAACTGGCTATCGTCTGCTGCATTTTAAGATCAATAGGAATGCTGTTAAAAATGGAGCTAAAATGCCCGCTCTCCCCGTCCTTCGAAAATCTGACCTTAGACTTAAAAGACCTTCCAGTTCTCTTTTAGGATATGAGAGATGAGAACCTAGCATCTTGAATATAGAACAATAAAATTTGCCCTTGACTTTGATTGTGTTCCTCGAGAAGCTCCTTCCGTCCCTAGACACCATCAACGAACAACCCCCTCCAGTCATTCGCGAAACAATGTTTGATGAAAATCAAGTTGATATATTTATCGCCTGACATTTATAAATTTATAGCGTCCGTACCTCAAAAAGTCTTATCAAAACGTGCTTTATCATTAAGACATTGTGATTATTTGGAGCAACAAAAAGAATTTTTGGGGGCTGCAATTAAGTCCATGATTTCAAAATCTGCTCCTTATCAAAACTCATGTTTTGACTTTTTTCAATGAATGAAAATCATGTGATTTGCAAAAGTGCGGGCATTTGATTATTTTACGAAATTTAAATACTTCAAAAGAATGAGTCAGACGGAGTAAATTTGTAAGAAATGTGGGAGTTTGGGTTGTTTAACTTTCAGGTTAATTAGTTTCAAATGTTCTCAATTTCTCTGAATTATTGGAATTACTTTTCTTGTGTTTCATGCTTTACCTTGAATCAATGTTTAATTTTGGATTTAATTGATTTCTTAATGTTTTAAATTTTCCGATTCGGAAATGGTGAGTCAATGCTGTTTTTTCTAGATAATTGACTGTTTGTTTAGAGAAATTCTCAATAACAATATTGTGGATGAATATGCAAGCTAAAATGCAGGTATAAACAACTTTTACCTTGTGAATTATTTGAATTTTAAATTCAATAGAAGCAATATATTTACAATAATTGAAGATTCAAAGGTTAAAAAAATAGCAGTAACCAGTTAAAACTGGTAAAAGTAAAAATATACAAAATTTTAAAACTTTTTCAGAGATAATTGCGTTTCGACTTAATTTAAACATGCATACCAGCATTTGAATGATTTATTCAAGGTTTTGTTTGACGAACTTTCGGTGAATGTTGTGTAAAGCAGGAACGTAGAAGAAACAATTTTTTGGTAAGTTTGGATTTTAGTAATTGTGCAAAATTTTAAGCTTACCTAGAATAGATTTGAAAAAATATTTTCGATTGATAAATGCATTATTGAAATATTCAAAAGTTAAAATTTCAATCATCTCGGCAGGGTAGGGTGAGCTTGTCTAGCTTCACTCATGTATTCAGAGCGCATGTTGATAAATTTTAAATTGGTTTGTTTACCTTAAATTCTTAGGGTATTCCCATTTGTCCAAAAGAAATCTTTGACGAGACGTTTGATCTTGTTTGTTTTAAATATCAGAAACGTAGTAGATTTGAACAAAAAATAACATTAGCAAGAGAAGTCTACACCCTTTCTGAATTAATCCAAACTAAGCGATTTAAGGTCGTTGCGAATACTAAAGTCCTTGATTATAACAACTATCGAAGACCCCGATTAATTAAATTGTAAAATTGATCCAATCACACTTCATTCAAGCTAATATAAAATGTCTTTACGTTGATATTAAGCATTCCAGGCCTACAAATAAGCACATACTCGTAGTTAAAATATCCAAATACTTTGATGTCTACCAGACAGTTCGACAACAAGAAGAAGCTTTAAGACAAAACAAAATATCGAGATTATTATTAAATTTGCATTTTTTGCACAATTCTCAAACAGGTTCTTAAACCAATTTTAAAATCGACAACAAAGAATTGATTATCAACACGTGTTCAGATTCCACAAGTCCATAAATCAATAATGAAGCTAAGTGCCAATTAAATCCACGATAATCATTTAATCTATTTGCTTCTTCTTGTTTACATGCAACGGAATTAACACAATTTCTGTTGGCTTAAATGTTTATAAATAAAATTGTCTTGTGACAATCACATGATTTCTGCTGTTTCTAAAGTCAATTCAGCCTCAAAGGACATAATTTATAGTAAACAATCATTGAATCTCACAAAATAATATTTACTATGTATTAAGATTAATAACATGTGTTATCAGTGTGTTTATTGAAAAAAACATACCGGATAATGCTAGTAGAATCAACATAAATGAGAAGCTTATTTATTTATTAATTGCAGAACTTCCAATACTGTAAACACGTGTGAAGCATAATTTATGATTTTATTGACCTATATGCGCTTCTGAAATATCTAGCTGAGGTGAGATCTAACATGATTATTAGGTATTGGCTGCTCCCAACGACTGCAAGCAAGAACTCATTTTCGGAAATAGGTACTTCATTTTCGAACTTGATTTGAATTTAAAATTTCCGTTGAAAATATTTGTTTACATTTCTTAGTCTTTGTGGAATTTATAAAATTTCATTTTTTTAAAATGGTCAGAAATTGTGTAATTACCAGAGTTTGAAAATAAAATGAAAATTGCTCTATTTTGAAAATAAATCAAAATGAAAATTATGAAAATTGCCAATTTTGATCAAAGCAATTTTGCAATTTTGTCAATTTCAGAAAATTGCAATTTTGGAAATTGTTTATTTTCCAAAATTGCAATTTTGGAAATTATCAATTTTTATTTTTGTGACGTCATAAATATTTGATGAATAATTTTGTATGAAAATTTTCTACTTTTTAAATGAATTTTTTCTTCAGAAAAACAAAAGATACAGTTTATTTCCTGGATGTTGATATTCGTTTTTAACTTAATACTTGCTAATTCCTGCGTGTTTTAAAATTATGATAAATTTAAAATTATGATTATGAGCATTATAAGTACCTTTAATTTAAAATAAACTTAAAGGAACAACGCATCAAACACGCAGGAATTAGCAAGTATTAAGTTAAAAACGAATATCAACATCCAGGAAATAAACTGTATCTTTTGTTTTTCTGAAGAAAAAATTCATTTAAAAAGAAGAAAATTTTCATACAAAATTATCCATCAAATATTTATGACGTCACAAAAATAAAAATTGATAATTTCCAAAATTGCAATTTTGGAAAATAAACAATTTCTAAAATTGCAATTTTCTGAAATTGACAAAATTGCAAAATTGCTTTGATCAAAATTGGCAATTTTCATAATTTTCATTTTGATTTATTTTCAAAATAGAGCAATTTTCATTTTATTTTCAAACTCTGGTAATTACTGGTTGTAAAGGAAAGAAAATCAATAAAATACCTTTGTTTGAACTTCCAAAAAGCTCTGTGCATAAAGATAAGGAGATTGAATTTCTTAAATTGCATAATATTGAATATTGCTGTGAAAAAAAAATATTTCTTGTGTATTCTTGAATTTATTTATAGACAACTTAATTGATTTACCTTATGTTCTGATCCTTCCTTTAACCAGAAATTCATCAATACAGTAATTGCACAAATTGAAGTCGATTTTGAACATTGTCAAGATACAATTGATAAATTATTAAACGTTTTTGTTGAATTTAGAGTAAAATTGCAATTTCAAAGTCGATTGGTACATTAAAGGAATAATTTTGCTTCAAAAAATAACTAAAATAAATATTATTTTATTAATTCCCTAACGGTCATTTATTTTTTAAAAAATTTAATAGTTCGAAACAGTTCGAAATTTTTCGAATTTCAGTTTGAATTTATCGAATCTAACTGAAGTTTTCTTTGTTTGCAGTCGTTGGGGCTGCTCCTAGATTTAATCTCAACTGCACATAATCATTTGAGCGTGAAACTAGTTTCTTAGCACAGTACACGGATACTTAATGTGGTTGGTCTATTTATGAAATTTCTATTAATAGTTGATAATTAGTAAGCTTGTAAGCTTCATTTCAATACTCAGATTACGAGAAACTACGTAGCTACTTAGCCGAGACTTGAACATAAAATCCTTTGGTCTGCATTGCAGTTTTCAAATACAAAAGCCCTAAACCATTGATCCATCGACTCATTTCAGTTGATAATTGCTTATTGATTGCTATATTAATAAAAGATTCAACCTAATCGCTCAAAACATTGTAACAATAATTCCACGACGACAGCTCTATGAAGTGCATAATGACGATAATGGTGAAAATATTGATTTACTTTACTGGATTTATTTTTAGATTTTCATTTGAATAATTGAAAAGTTTATGGATAGTTGGGAAAAATCGAAGATTCATTGTAAATTAATAGTTCGTAGAAACTATGAATGAAGCTTTGACGAAAGCGGAAAAATCGAAAATCAATTAATTTTTTAAACTTGAACTAGTAAAATTTTCCTTCGAATAGAGCTAATGCCTACGTGCTTATAGTAAATTTAGTGGAAATTGTAAAGAAAACACGTTTGTAAAATTATTGAAAGAAAAATTAATTTCTTGCGATTTTTTAATGTTTGTTTAATTAATCTAATGTGATTTGTATGTTTATAATTAATTTTTAAGGACTGGCAATCTATAAAAACTGGAATTTCATAACTAAAAGATTACAAAAATTCCATAAGATCTGAACAGATGTAAAATGACAAACAACAACAAAAAGCTAAGTAATTTTCACGTTATTCTCTTATTTAATTAATAAAGTCATCATTATTGAGTAATTAGCTAATGTGGAATTGAACAATATCATGAAATACTGATGAATGTGCTAATAGAGCTCAATAATTTTGTGGAAAACTTCTCACCTAAACTAATGCAGTATCAACATCTGACGCTAATAGTAATTATGAAAACAATCGTAAATATCCTGAAAATTAGTTGATGTTAATCTCTTTGTTTATCATTGAATTTATGAACAGAAACTTTTTGAGTCAAAATTTGATCCGCACTTTGTTTATTTCTCTTTTCTTGAATTTACAAGAATCATATTGAACTAGATTACTTACTATGCACTCCAAAATACCCTTTATAAACCAAGTACAGGAAAGCAACATTATGAAAGACTATCGAAGTTGTTTGAAGAAATTTCATCAACCAATCAACATTTTATCGCTTGAACAACGTCAGTTAGTGAAACTGGATCACCTATTTACCTCCAAAAAAATCTTTTTGAGTGAGTTTTTGCGTTCGTTCAAACTTAATACACAAAATATCACATTCGATGTAAACATTGTGTGCCATCTGATAAACATTTTCACTTCAATAATAATATTTTGTTCGTTAATACATTCCAATTCTCTATTAATAATGAGCATACGTGTGTTTATTAAAAAAAATGAATATTATTTGGATACAAAATAGCAGTGTTGTTGAGACAAATGGCTAGGCTAGACTAGGCAAGGTAATGTTCCAAATTCTTAAGGTTGACCTTCAATGAGGTTTTGGCTAGAAACTACTAAGACAACTAAGAACTGTTTAAACCTAGTTTTTAAAAACTTATAGTATTGTTCGCATAGTCAGACTATTCAATATTAAACAGAGTTGCGATATGTCATAGGCAATCACCTCTGATTTACCTGTTAACAGGCAGAGTCTGTGACTGATCTGTCACCTTTACCTGTGACAGGCAACCTGTTTCTCAACTCTGATATTAAATGGATATTTGGATTGAACTAGTCAAAGCATTTGAGTATCTTAGCCTAGATTACGTTTGATCCAAGTTCTTTTTACTTAAAGACTGATGCTGACCACATGAAGTCTTAACATAACCGAGCCATCTTGACAACGACTGATTCAGATCTAGTTGTTTAAACAAGAAATGAAAGATTATTATCACAGAACCAAATCAAACTCAATCTAAACCTAGCTTTTGTTGCCAACACTGCAAAACAGAATGCGCGTGAGTTGTAAACAATTTAATATAAGCAATAATAATAATATTGAAAAGATAATACATTTTTCGGTGTAGTAATTGTGAATCCAATTGTTCTTCTCCAAAATACGCAAAAAAAGCTTTGTTTTGATATCTTCATGTCTAAATGAGCAACGCAAAAAAAAGAACCGGTAAACCGGCAATGTAAACATATCAAATCAATTTCCATGTGACATGATTCGTTTATTTTCTCATCATACACAATATTCGTCGCATTTAATTAACTACAAAGCGTCGATCTCCAGTAGCAATAGCGCGTAATGTAAGAGGTATGCACAGCTCTTTGTGTATATTATTTGGCTAGAGAAAAACAAAACAGAAAATGAGAAAAGAGTTTTTTGATGACTGTGTGAATAATATCACGTAGACTATAGTCTATGTCGTAGTCGCGTATATCCATTAATTCCTGAATTAACCCTGAAGTACTAATAAATGATGAGATATTTCTCACAATAATGCAAATGCTCATAAAAATGTCTTCCTCTTAGGAATGTCCACAAGATTGTCTACAAATATAAAGTATGACCTTAGAAAGGCACAATAAAATGAAATCATGTGTACGAGCATAAGCTGATCGTCGTCGACGCAGCAAGAGAGAAAATTTCAAAAATTTTAATAAATTCTCTCAATTTTAATTTAATTTCATTCTTTAATTTTTTTTTGCGAGCAGCCAGAGAGCAACAAGAAGAAAGAAATTAAATAAACACACGAAGTGCTGAGTTTGTTTTTGTAGTTATAGCGGCGAATATTTATATATATTTTTTTGAAATATCTACGAGCATATGGAAAAACAGTCTCTCCGACAATATTTTTTTTACAGCTCGAGACATTATTCTCATTCAATCGTAGACCGTTGAAGCGAATACAACAAGTGTTGAAGAATTCAAAAATAATTAAATATTTTCGTGATCAAAAAAAAAATATCAAAAAACTATTGCAAAAAAAAATTCTTTACGTGAAAGTGAAAAAAAAATTCTTATTTTCTCTTTTGTGAATTTTTGAAGTGAAGCCAAGAATAAAGGCACACAAATTATCATCGAAATAAAAACAATAATAAACATTTTGTGAATATAAAAAAGTTCTATCTGTGCATTTGTAGACTATAATGGTCCTTGCAACAGAGATCATGTTACCGCCGAGGCGAAATTCATTTGGTGGATCAGAATCCACAGCAAGTAAATCACCACCAAATAAATCTCATTGGTGGTTCTTCACATCCAAATTAAAGTCAGCAGATAGTTATGGGGGAAGTAATCAGCATGTTGCTACACAAAAACTCAGACAATCCAAATGGTTTAATCAAGATGAAGAGAGATTATTTTGTGCAGTTATTGAGACGGGATTTATTGTTGAACTTGTACAGACAAATGTGCAGCAAAACACAAGTGATGAAGATGACGATTTCCAGAAAGATACTCCCGTTCAGTCACATTACGGCGTTGTTAGTGCGGAGGCAAAGAAAAGTAAGTTTTATTGTCATTTTATTAGCGATGCAGGGTTGGAAAACTTGAGTGGGGAGTCTAGTTAAAGGAAATTTTTAAACGTGCAATCTGAGTGTTTAAAGGCAAAGTGTTGACTAGTTATATTTTGATAGTGAAGATGAGGGATGCATACTCTGGATTATGTTACAAAAACTAGTATTTCTACTGGATCAACAAGCTGTGCATAGTATACAGATTAAATAGAGTTTTTCTGGTGTAACAGTATCCGAAGGTGGTCAAAGTAGAATAAAGGAAGGAGATAATGAGGCATTGATTGAGTTTATTATTCGAATATTGAGAATTGAAAGACAATGATAAGGTAAACTACTGGCTACGTTTGGGATAAATCATTGATCAAAGTTGATTTGTACTGCCTGGCAGGACGTCGAAAGTCTAGGGGAGTTATAATATGCACGTTCGAAAAGTTTTAATTTGAAAGAAACCGTTACATTTTTAATGATTTTTTAGAGTTTTCGATCGTTTTAAAAAAGATTTAGCTTTATTTTGTAATTATCGAAAATTTTGAACTGCAGGGTATGAAACTTCGAATTTTGTATGACAGCCAGATAAATAAGACATCTTACTTCCTTACTTCAATAGCCATTGAGGTTAATTTTGATCCATGGTAACCCTTAGATTTCACCTGAACCCAATGCTAGCAAACAGAAATTTTTGAATTCTTATTATTCGAACTTCGAATTTTTGAGGTTCTTATTTTTCGAAAATCGAATCTTCGAAGTTCTTATTTTTAAAAAAATTCGTTGTGAATTATTATTTTTCGAGTAATTTGTAATTTTAGTGAACTTTCCTACTAGTTTTTATGATTACGATAATCACTGTGATGAAATTGCATTCCTTAAATGTTTATGCTTTAAAAAACAGCTAGTTTAAAAAAAAATTAAAAGTAACGGACTTTCTTATTTTGAAATTTTAAAAAAATACCGTGCGAAAATTTTGAAATTTTTTTGTTTGTAATGGACTCTGTTCTCTTTGCTAACATTGGACCTGAACCTGACTAGAGAAAGCCTCATTTTTCATAAAAATGCCAAAAAAAAAACCACCCACCTGCAAATTTTTCAACCCTGTTTATATTTTTTTTGCGCTGCTAAATACGGTCCATTCGACAAGACATTTATTCTCGATCCATTAAAATCTATTAACAACATCATGATGAATTCTTCGTCTCATGTGAAAATGACACTTTTGATAATAAATTATAATTTTTATCACACATGTCGAATCTAACTTGCGCGTGTAATTTAATTTGCCGCTGGAATGGAACTCAAGACCCCTTACAATGCAAATTTTCGGTCGGTTCCACATCATCGCTGTAAGCTTAGCTCATGAAAGTATTTAATATTCTATTTGTTTACTGAAAAACTTTGTTTATCGTACGATAAAGTTTCACAGTACACAATGTGCAGATTCACGGACGTGAATTTTTTTAAATTAGGTCAAGTGGATTAAATTCTGAGCTAATTGACTGAGATAATCTGCGTCATTTAAGGAGTATAGTAGAGCTTTATTAATTTTCCTGTAACAATGACTTGCGAGATGTCGACTCTATTATTAATTTTTACTCTGAGCTTCAAATGCTCATGAATGACATACAAACAAATATAGAATAGAAAAAAATGCAATCTGGTTGCAAATTGCCGGTTGTAATAAAAAATACGGCATTTTTTTCTATTGTTGACTAGGCTTTGATTTAGTTGTTTTTACTATTTTTATCTCACTTATTCCTATGAGCATTCTGAGAAATTGGCGAGTGCTATTTTAAGGCGACAAGTTCTAACAGCTTAATGCATGATCGAGATTGTATTGACACGTTAAGTTATGAAATCATTTTGTGAAAAGAGGCGATAATATGAACAGTAAAGTGAAGCTTTTGTCATATCTGACGTATTAAAAATTAGCTTGTCTGATTCTCGTGAGCAGTATTTGTAGAGCTGATGAAATTTATTTTCGGGAATTGTGAATTTTTACTTCGAATCAAATTAGATCTGATTTTGGAAAGTCCAAGACAATTTTCGAAAGATCCATCAATTTTAATTAACTTTTCCCGATGTATTTAATCTCTAGAATAGCTTAATTTTATGATGTCTAGAAAAAGCTTACGACAGCAAGTTATCATTTTTATTATGAATTAACAAGCAGAATAACAGAATATTAAAGTTGTTTGCTTCTTTTGTTATTAAAAGTTTCTTGAACATGCTGAATTTGACAAAAACCTTTTCACAACTGTTTTTCATAGCTGACAAAAGCATTTTTCAGTTATATTTCATTTCGCTGATGTTTCTCTGTTGAAATTATTAAAGATAAAACGACATTAAGTTTTGAAGGTTAGAATCTTAATTGAGATTTATGAATTAATGCTTTATATCCAAGACTAAGGTACTCAGAATGATTTAAATATTCAGAATGTACAAAGAAAATTCTAAACTATTAAAATTCGATTCCTGCACAATGAATCTACAAATTTAATGATCTGTCAACAACTTCCATACCGATCAAGCAGAGTTGCGATTTGTCAAATCTGCCCACAGATATAGTAGATCTGTGCCAGATCTATGCGTTTTAACAGACAATATCTGCGACATATCTGTCACCTGTGCCTGTGACAGTTGACCTGTACAGCAACTCTGATCTCAAGTACCAACCTTAAAAAGCCCTTGTGAATAAATTTACAAGAGATGTTGACCTTATAATAAAGCTTCATGGAAACTACTTAGGAATATACCAAAACAACTGCATTTGGCATCAATTCTGTTTACGTTTTACTATATCTTAATATAAAAATATTAACTCTGTTTCTCTATTTCTTGTTGATATCTGCTCCGTATCTTATCAATAAAGTTGTTTAGAAAACAAAAAATGAAAATGCTGCAACGCAATGAGCTTAAATCGATTAAATAAGCTTCACGAAATGGTTAAAAACAAAACAAAAACATGCTTTTGCACGTAAATGAGATTAAAGATTGTCATTGTGCATATAATAATGACTTTATTGTGTCAGAACGTTGTATAAATAGCTCGAAAATAAATAATTCGCAAAAAACGCAGTGTGATGCTTAATTAAATCAAAATAATCCATCCCCTGACAGCTATTGTGTATGCAATAGGAATTAATTTGAATTTAAAAAAAAATGAGAATAAAAAGTGGAGTAAATTCAATCGTAACATGAATGAAGCTCATTGTGTAATAGCATTTTATATTAATCATAATGATAAGAAACTCTATCTTCGAGTAGTTCATTAAACTGACTCGCGTAACATGTGTGTAAATAATAATAATAGCATAACAGCAAAATGTTTCACTCTAATTTTCTTATTCATCATATTGTTGCCTTTTATCTCGGATGATTTATAAGCACACATCTGTATTCACGTGGAATATATAATGCGAATAAGTAAAGGAAGTAAATCATACTGACGATACTTTAGCAAATAACCTAAGGACGACTATTTATTTTGTGGTTTTCCTAGTTGTTTGTACTAAATCATGTTTTGATAATATTTGCCTTGTATTTTTCAAGGATTTATGTTGGGGGCCGTTCACTTACGACGTCCAGGGGGGGGTCAGCAAGAAAAGAACAATAGAAATTCTTGGAAATTCATTCTTTTTTGAAAAACGACCGTTAATTTTGGGACGTCATAAGTGAACGACCCCTTGGATATTTAAGAAGATGCGGATTGATTTAAATCTTTTAAGTTTGATTGATGTTTGTTCCAGAGTTGCAATACATGTCGCCTGTCACAGGCACAGGTGACAGATATTGTTCTGTTAACATTCTGTGCCTGTGACAGACAATAATTTTTTTGCCTGTCGCAGGCACAGATCTGTGACAGATCTCTCAAATCTGTGACAGATAAGTAAAATCTGCCCACACATATAACAGATCTGTGTCAGATCTATGCCTGTGACAGACAAAAAAATATTGCCTGTCACAGACACTGTCTTTTAACTGGAAAGTGACAGATGCCTGTGACAAATCGCTCTATGAAATTTGAATGAAGTTTAAAATCAATTCTTAACCTTTTTAAAAAACTGTTTTACGGCTAAAAATTCAAAAATAAAATTTACTGACTTTTTAAATCCCCAAAAATCATATAAATCTAAATCAGTCTATAAATAATCAATAAAATAGCAATAAACAGCTCGTCTATATTGATATTAAATTTCAATAATCATCTAGACAGATTCAGCGAAGTATAAACTATGCAAATATATAAAGCTATAAAGCTGAACGAGAATTCATCGTGATGTGAATGAAAGTGAGAGTAAATTATCGTCACAGAACACGCGCCCTTGAAAATACATTTTTAAAAGAATTTTGCTATTTTTGAAAATTATCTTTTTTTTGCTCACTATTTGTGTCTTTCTTTTGTTCATTATAGATAAAAAGCCGACAGCACAAGACATTTTTATTTATACAGTATCAAAGCTAGAGAATCGATTGAAAGTTGTGAAACTAACAATTGCAGAACTTTGGACTCAAGGCTATAAAATCCGTATAAATAATATGAATGATAAGTCAAAGCATATCAATAACGAGAAGGATATAAAGAGTCAAGTAAGTACATCTTGTTTAATTTTTATTGCAATTAATCTTTATTAATTTGTTTTTCTACTTTTTTTCTTTAATAGATCAGCTACGCCGTAAAACATAAGACAGCCTTTCACAATAGTTTGCATTTCGTCGATTATTGTCGCTACGGTGCTCAATTAGAACAGAAGAAGAGACAAGTATCGGAGTCTGTAAAATGGGGTTCAGTTGGCATGAATGCGGGTATATTCTTATTACAAAGAGAAAGGAGTCACTCATTTTCCAAATAATAGATTTTGCATCTATAGACAAGACGAAAAAACATGACCGAACGTGACAAAAGCGCATTTTTTTACTAAATTGATTGTAAACATGCTGATACAGTGATGTAAGATGACCTTGTAATGATGATGAATAACATTATGATGGAAATACTACTCAATGACTATAGTTCTTCTATACAAGTATAAATCATTCATGATGTTATCATTAGGTTCGAGTGATAAGTTCTATTTATTACGATAAAAACCATTTTTATTCTGTAAATATTATTTTTTAGTACCTATATTATACATACATGTATATGTATGCGATAAGTCGCATTCAATTCTAATCATTAGATAATAAGACTCGTTAATTGACTTATTTTTCTGTGCAATGAGATGAGATAAAATAAACAAATAAGAAAGCTATCTTTATGGTTTTATAACTCTATTTTGATGCACTCGAGTTATTTTTGTGGACTTTAGATTTTCAGGGTGTGATTTTTACCACGTTTTTTTGCAGATAACGTGGCTTAATGTGCAAAATCAGTTACAAAAAATATTTCAAATTTTATCGAATTTGTATGGCTCTAGAATAAAATTTGTATGGCTTTCAGTTCGAAAATTCCGTTAACCGAAATTAATTAATCAATGAATCTATAACATTTTTGTGTACTTAATCTATTTACAAAGTGGGGTGATATATCTGAAAGGAATTCATCTGTTTCTCAATGAAAATAGTTCCACTTTCCAACAATTTTTGCCAACTGTTTTAAAATATTCAAATTTTAGCACAACAAATGTGCGGGAAATCAGTTTTTATTTGATCGAGTTCTGAAATCAAAATATTTTAATTAATTATAGTTTAAAGGAGCCTTCCTAGTCAATAATATCTTTTATGCAATAGATAACATCACAAACTATCGTCAGATAGTAAAATTGTAGTTGAATAAGTGATAGATATAAAATTAGTAAAATATGCCTCAGAATAAGAAATTTTTGCCAAAAAGAAAGAAAAGTTCCAAGTCAAAGAAAGATAATGTCAAGTTCCATCGTACAGACTACTCGAGTGAGATATTTGGTGACTTTAGTGTCGAAGATCTGAAGTTTTTGCATAAAGTTCCTATTAAGCTTCAGATCAAGAAATTAAAGGAACTGCTTAGATATGACAACAAAATAGACGATGACACAATGCCGAATATCCTACCAGATGCTGATTCCTTGCATGTCGAAGACACTATTAAAACCGAAATCATTTCATCAGGTATAAAGGAATTTGACGACTTATTTGTAGCCAAAGGAATCTTGTCAGGAACAATTATGGAAATTTGTGGAAAGAGGAACGTTGGAAAGTCTATTCTAATCAACTCCATCCTTATTAATATCCTGAAAGACCATACAGACTTTGAAGTCATCTATTTTGACTCTAAACCACAATTTAGAACAGACATAATTACAAAACTTTGCGCTGCACAAGGCATGAATGATAAAGATGCTGAAAACATTAACAAGCGATTCTCAATTATTCAGATCAACAACATGTATGACTTAGTTCATGCATTGGAGCAGCTTTTTGATCCACAAAGAGTCTGTCGAATTTACAATAAGAATTTTGACATGTCTAAGGTTCGATTTATCGTCATCAACACAATTACTATGCCTTATTATCATTGCTCATCGCCTCTATCTGTCAGTAAGAAGATTACGTCAGATTTGCACAAAACAATCCATCGACTTGCAAAGTATTATGGAGTTACTGTAAGTATGGCTTTATTTAAGAATATTAATGCGATTAAGTCAATATTATTTTCTTACTTCCAGTTCTTCATCGCCAACATCACACTTCATAGACTGAATAAAACATCCGAATCTGATAAAGGAGATGATGCATCCTCAACTAGTTCAGTTTTAAGTTTACTGGAACCAGCTGAGAAGTTTAAAGCAGCACTTGATGAATTTTGGCCTGAAATACTTGATTACAGATTCTACATGACTGAATCAAGTGGATGTTTTGATAGTTTGGGATTTTTGAAGCTGCCTCGCAACTTGGAATTAGTTGAAGGTCGATACGAAAAGATAGGAGAAACAGCTGAAGTTTATATAACTGAGTTGGGCATGGTTTGATTAAAATAAAGTTTTTATTTGATTGGTCTTATTGCCAACATGTATACAGGAAAAAGTTCTTTTGGGAAATTTGTTTGTTTCTGTTCCTTAATGATTCTTAAGTTTGATTTTTTGAGTAATGCCTTAAAATTTGCCATTGGTCGAGTCACGGACGAGTCTTCTTTGTCAAAAATGACTTCATTTCCTTTTGTAAAGTTCTCTTTAACTATAATTAAGCCATTTTTATTGAGCATTGTGGATATTCTTGTGAAAAAATCGATTAAAGCTTCGTCTGGGAGATATAGCAAAACCCATTGGATCCAAATTACGTCATAAGTGTCGCTAGACTCTTTAAAGTCCTGTAATCCAACATTATAAATGTTTCCTAAATGTCCCGAGTTAATTAAGCTTTCCTTCGCTTTCTCACAGAACTTTGCATCTTGCTCAACTAGATCAACTGTTGTAAATTCTTGCATTAGCACATTTTTTGAAACTCGTCCAATTCCAGCTCCACAATCCAGACATCGATTTTTCATAGGCGTTGGTTTCAGTTTAAAGACTTGTTTGAGAAAGTTTAGAGATCCTTGAACGTCTTAAAGGCATGCAAAATAAGCAATTAGCTACGAAAGGTTCAAACATTTAATTAAACCTTACCAGGAATCGAGATCTGCAGCAAATTACCAAGCATACCACAATTCGTTGGCTCAACATTGCTCCAATAGTCTTTTGACTTGTCATAATTAATCACTTCCTCATTATCTTGTGTACTTTCCATACTCATAACTTATTTTTTAATTTCTCGATCCAAAAATTGGTAAATATATGCAGGCGTAGGAAAAAATTAGCATGTAAGTGTGTGAAGAGAATTGGCTGTGCTAAATGACACTTTGAGGAATTTGTGGCTGGATGTTGATGGCATGAATGAACGATTTTTTGGAAAGTAAAAAAAATGTTGAAAGCTAAAACCAATCAAATGTTTATGCCAGAACAATTCAAATTCTAAAATCCGAAAACTATACAAATGTTTTGCCTTTAAACAATTGCATGGTTTTGAAACACAAATGGAATTGTATGGTTTTCAGTACACATTAAAGAATTTCAAATTTCAAATATACGTTAAGCTTCACAAACTTTACTAACATCCACAAATGCGCACACTAAACCAACAAACATTGAATCTTAAGCATCACTTACTTTACATTAAATAATTATTTTAAAACATAAACATTAAGTTTCTACAGAAATGCTGCGGCGATTTTTGATTCCAAACTTAATGTTAAGACGAAATGTCACAGCACTTTACGTGACAGGCGATAAAGCTATGGAGAACTTTGCAGTTCTCTCGCCATTCTTAGAAATTGACGAGCGAATGAAGAATTTCAATGAAATTAAGGAAAACATTGAGCGTAGAAAATTGCCGATAAATTTAGAGACTTTAAAGGATGAATATGAGCTGTTTAGTGCTGTGGAGAATAGAAAGAAGGAACTTGAAGATCGTCGATTAGATATAGCAAAGCAAATGAAGGTTGAAGCTACAGAAGGACTTAGATTGCAAGGAAAAATCATTCGTGAAGATTTAAAGAAATTAAAGGAAAATTCTTATCATTTAGAGGACCAATTCGTCCATAACTTCCTTAACATCCCTAATATCATTCACGAGAAAACACCAAAAGTTAAGGAAATCGTTTACAGTCACTTAGAAAAGCCTGAAATTGAGCACCCAAATGAAAAGATTCAGGAACTTATCGAGTTTTATGATCCAGCTTGTTATTACATGAAAGGAGATGCTGCACAATTTGACTTATTTACTCCACTGGATCTTTGTGACTACCTTAGAGATGCTGGATTCATCAAGTTCAGCAATCCAGACTTTGTTAGAAGCATAATAGCCGAAGGTGCAGCTCTAAATCCAGAAAACTTGTTCCACCTTAAAGAAGAAGCTATTGACAATAAATTGAACCTGCTGCATTTAAGTGGAAGTGGATCTTTTATCAATTACCTGCCATTTATATCAAAGCTTATCGCTTTTCCGACTCAACTTCCATTAAAACTCATTAATACTGGAAAGATTTACAGCAGCACTAATCATTATGAGCATCAAAACTTGTACAAGACTGTCCAATCGACATGCTGTCAAGCATTCATAGCAACAACTAATGAAGAGTCCTTTAATGAAGTTGTTGAGGAAATGATTAAGCATTTAAAGAAGATTTATGAGAAATTCGATCATCATTTCCAGATTGTCTTATATCCAGCAGACATGCTTAATAACAGTGAATCCTTTAAGATTGGCATTGAAATGTACTCGGTAATTAAGCAGAAATATATAGAAGTTGGAAATTTTTCATACCACAGCGATTTCATTAGCAAACGACTGCTGTTCAACTACAAATTAGATAAGTCTATAGAATTTCCACACATCTATTCAGGCACAGTCATGAATGTCATGAAAGTTCTCGTAAATCTTATAGAATGTAACAAAAACCTTAATAACTTTATTAAATAAATTACGAGTTCTCAGATTCCTTAAATTTACACTTTGTGCATGTAAAGAACACAGTTTGACCTTCATCTGCTGATCGTAGCTGTAGACAGGCATAAGACATTTTATCATTTCCACATTTATTACATTTTCTGTCCACAACTGGTCCTTCTGCTTGCTCATCATCGCTGCTGTCATTATCGTCTTCATTTGGAATCTTGTTGAATGGGATATTATAGTCTATCCTCATGTCACCAAACACTGGAAGTTAATAAGAGTTGAATTTATTTCTGGATGTTAAAATTTTGGGGTATTTAAGTGAGATTGTGGATATTTGTATGTTTTGAAATGTTAGAGATGCTTTTGAATACCAAACTGAATTACAAAAAGCAGATCCAGTCACCCACATCTTAATTAAATTAATAAATTCTCACCAGAAACATCATGTTCCTTTTGACACAAATAACAGATGCTGCCGCCCATTGGTTTCATAGGTGGAATAATAGATCCACAGTCTGGACAAAATCCAGGCGTTCCTTCAGTCTGACGAGGTTGGTCCATGCTTATATTATTAATTATTTTAATAATTCAAGATTCACGTGAAATAAAATCAAAATATTATTGTGTGAATGCAGCTTAATTTTTGGAGTAATAATGTGAATGTGACTTGATTTTCAACAAATATTGGCTAGAGTTGCTCTTCTTAGAGTTGCTGTGCTTAGTAAATAGCAATTGAAATTCTAAGCAATTCTGTGTATTCAGCATCACATTAAAGTCTATAAATTCCTCCAAAAAACTGTAAAGTTGGAAAATAAAATTAACGGTCGAAAAAGATTCAAAAACTTCAAACCGGTAAAAGAATAAAGTTTGTGAAGACGACTGAAAAGCTTAATGCTGAGAAAATTTTCTCTTAACCTCAGATCGCTGGTAATTAGTCAAACTTTATTTTAATTAAATTTACTATTAAAAACGCTATTTAAATCCTCAAATTGTATTTAAACATAATTGTAAAGGCTTTGAGAGTCGATTAATATTAAATTCAAGTGTCAGTTTTACGGATTATGAGTGAAAATATCAATCAAGAAAATATGGAAAATTTCGATGATATTAATGATAATTGTGATAATATGAACAACTCGGGCGATGTAAGTACTTGTTAATAATACTATAAACGTGTTAAAATTAAGAAAATCGTGTTAAAAAATGAGAATTTTGAAATTTTCACATGGCTTTGAGTAGGTGGCTTTTTTTTTCTTCATAAAAAAGACACGCCATATTTGCTTTGATAAGATCCCTTCCTTCATTATTTTTTTGTTACACGAAAAGTTCATTGAACTAGCATTTTTACTAACTTTAGTCCGTTTTTTTAAATTCTTTAATTAAATTAAGGACGAATCAATTAAGGAGCCGGAATGCTTGAGGAAATTATTTATTGGAGGTTTGGACTATCGAACAACAGATGAGACGCTTAAGAATTACTTTGAAAAATGGGGTAAAATCGTCGATGTTGTGGTTATGAAAGATCCAAAAACTAAGCGATCTCGTGGATTTGGCTTTATCACGTACTCAAAATCGTCTATGGTTGATGCAGCTCAAGAAGCTCGTCCTCATAAAATCGACTCACGGTAAGTTCAGTCTTTAAAATATCTTTATTTTATGCAGCTCCAGCTCCGAAATGGCATGTTTGTATCCATATTCGGCGTTTCATTGCTGCTATAATAAGGTTTTTGCCTTGGGAAGTTTATTGCAATTTCAGTTTTTTATACTGATAATGTGTCCATTTTCTTTGCTACATACTTTATTTATGAAGTTTATATTTAAATGAGCTGCATTGTGATTCACTCATGCGGAGAAATTGTTCATTTGAAGATAATTTTTCATTATTCTGGGTTAATTTTCAATTTGTAAGCTTCTCTGTATTGAATTTTTATGCTGTAACTTAGTTTTTCATTTTTGAGGGTTACAATCTGTACGATGAGCTGTATATTTGGCTGAATTTATGCTAATTTAAGACAGTTCACTTTTTGCTACAAAATGTCCAAATTTAACTGTTGTAAGGTTTTGGAACATTTATTTCGTCAAGTTTTAAGCTTGAATTTTTAACTGTTGTAAGGTTCCAAATATAGATTTGTAAGGTTCTTTTAACAAATATGCTGTTGAAGGGTTTTCAAATTTTGAATCTTTTTAAACCGTTAAAAATTACTTCGAAACTAAGTTGAATACATTTCTAATTTCATAACAAATTACATGAAAGAACAAATTTCTTCACATTTCACCCCGCACTCATTTTAATGAACACTCATAAATAATGTCTTTATCATCACAATACAAATATACACAATACTTATGTAAATTTATTCAATTTCTTCACAGAACTGTCGAGCCAAAAAGAGCTGTTCCTCGCAATGACATTAATCGTCCAGAAGCCGGTTCCTCTGTCAAGAAATTGTTCGTTGGAGGACTTAAGGATGACTTTGAGGAAGATGACTTGAGAGAATATTTCTCCAAATTTGGTAGCATTTCATCAGTTATGATTGTAAGCGATAAGGATACTGGAAAGAAACGTGGATTTGGTTTTGTTGAATTTGACGACTATGACCCCGTCGATAAGATTGTATGTAAGTATCAAAAAGCTCGTTTATTGGCTATTGAATTAGTTTACAGTCCCAGCTCCGTCTACATTTCAATATAATTCAATAATATAGGTCGGCGTTCTACGACTGTTATAATAAATCTCTATTTTGTCAAACTCAAGTCATGTTTGTGGCTGTTATTTATACAGTTATGAGAAACGAGTTTGATGGACAGTTTCACTCATAAGTGACTAATTTAAATCCAATCCTTAGCACAGCTACGTGTCAAAAAATTTCTTATTCCAAAACAAATTACATTTTATGAGTAAAACTACATCTGCAAAAAATTATCAGCAATGTTTAACAGTATTCTAATGTGATTCTTATCCTATTCTTAGTGCAAAAGAGCCACACGATTAATAACAAGTTGCTTGATGTAAAGAAAGCAATCAGCAAGCAAGAAATGGATAGATTCCGTAGTGATCAACGTATGGGCAGTAATTATGGAAATGGAGGTGGATATAGCGGTGGTAACGGAGGAGGAAGTGGTGGATTTGGGAACGGATATGGACGTAGTGGTGGAGGGGGTGGAAATTGGAATCGAGGAATGGGAGGTGGAAATAGTAGTGGAAATGCAGGATCTAATGGAAATTGGGGACAATGGTCAAATGATAATTACGGAAATAGTGGATGGAGTAATGATAGTGGTCCATGGGATAATCAGAATTCAAGCTGGGGAAGTGGCGGTGGATATAACCAGAATTGGTCAAATGATAGCTTTGGTGGAAGTGGAGGCTATCAGCAGAATAATACAGCAAGCAGTGGAAATGGAAATGGAAGACCAATGCGTGGAAAGAGTTTCAGTGGAAACAACCGATCTGCACCTTACAGCAACAACCAAAGTAAGTGAATTGATCTTTCGTTAACTTTTTAAACCTTTTTTTGACCGAAAAATTTTCAAATTCTTTCTGACCGATAAATTTCAAATATTTCTAGACCGTTAAACATTTCAAATTTTTACTGACCGTTAAATAAACAAATACAACAGAACTAGTTTAAAAGTAATTTTAGCTGACATTTTTTTTCGGTCACTTATTGACTGATGATTGAGACTAATGACTTATTTTTGAAATTTTCTGACATTTTTTTAGGAAGTGGAAACCGACGTTATTAAGCATTCAATTTTTACATTTTGATTCATCACGATTTTCTGTGTCATGTGAGTATTAAGCGAATTATCTCAAAAAAATAAATTATTTTCAAAGTATATTTTTTTAAAAGAATGAAAATAGAGACAAAAAAAATATTAAATTTTAAAGGCAAAAATCAATTTATAAAGCTTTTGCCAAAGCTATTAAAAAATATATAAAATTTAGACATTTTAAATGATGCTCGTATTTTTCTCGTTTTTCTTCAACCCTTTTTCTTTTACCCAACAATGAATTTAGGTTTCAAGAATAATAGAATGTAATAAAACTAATAAAAGAGAAAAGATATAAGAACTAAATTAACGTAAATCATAAGGTGAAAATCAAATTCACAAACAAACTATTTAAATGTTCCCCTTCTGTAAGAACTTATAATGAGAGAAAAAGTAGAAATCTTTAGCATATTTAAGAAGTTAGACGCCCTTCCTCAATAATCTACAGAAAAAATCAAATAAAAATAAACACAAACTTGATGAACCACTCAACAGTCAAGAGACAGAGATGATAGGAAGAATAGCAGAAATAGGATAGAAGCGGAAAGAAAATTATGAGAAAATAGAGAATTAAATCACAGAGCAGGACAGAACAGAAATAAATCTTTTTCATATCTTCATTTGGTGTTCAATAAAAGCAGAATTTCAGAATTTTACAATTCTATAGTCAAACACAAAAAAAAGAGTAAGAAAAACTTGTAACGAATTTAGGAAGTTGCGGCCCACAGTAATTTTGATCAAAAAACCATCCAGATTGTGAAAAGTGTTACTTTCCTTCTTAGATAACGCTTTGATTTGTTTGATAATCAATAATTTTAACGATATAACGAATGACTAGTGTATTTCGTGGAATTGGAATAGTTTGAGTGCTTTTTTTTGCAGAGTAATTTCTTGATATTGGAATTGTTTAATGGTTCAAGTGAATAGAAAATGACTTGATTCAAAAAAACATAAAACCTTTCAAAATTGTTCAAATTTGATGCTTCTGGGTTTCTTATAAGATTAAAACTATATATGAATCCTCTAAGCTCTTCTAAAAAGTATGGTAATCAACTTTTGTAGCAAAAAGTTATGAAATCGTTCAATCTAATTCAAATGAGTTTCTCACAATTTCAATTCGTAACAAATAACCTATAATTGTATGTTTCGAACCTTTGACATTTATTGGGCCGCGTCAAAAATGAAAGGAATTTCAAAGCAACGGTTTAAAATTTGAAAATTTCCTAAAATATATAAGTTTAAGCTTTAAATTAAAAAGATATGAGAGGTCTTATCTACTCAAAATACCCATTCCCGAAAATTCTACGTCATCGGAGGATATTCGAATGGCTCTACAGAAAGAACTAGACATTGTACATTCTTAAATTTGTTATTAAAATCAGACTACCGCCATTCCATTTTCGAAAACCTCGAAATTACTTCGAAGTTTTTGAAAAAGTTCATATATTTTTTTTCCGTTATGCATAATGTAAACAAATAAATTCCTTGAGACATATTAAACAATAAAATCACTTAAAAAAGTAATTAATAAATACAAAAATGAGCAAGTGCGCAGTCTTTAATTGTGAAAACAAACGAAAGGATGGAAAAGCATTATTTCGAATGCCTTTAAAACCTTCTCCAATATTTCTTTCATTTTGCTACAAAATTGAATTTATTTATAGACAATGTGATTCAGTTGATAGAAACCACTCCGCATCCCAAATTAAATCATCCTTTAAAGCAGCAGTGAAAGAAATTTCAACTAGTTTTAATCACTGCATTTTGATATTTGAAGACTTTTTAAAGAATTTTTTAAATTTTAGATTGAAATTGTCTCATCAGAAACGTTATTTAAATCGAAAGGAGCTGTTTCCATCAAAGTTTAAATAAATAATCTGATTTGGTTTTCCATGATTTTAACTGTAATTTTGTTTTTGAATTCAAACGGTCATTTTTTTTGAATCATACCAACTTTTTTTTGTCTATTTTTCAAAAAATAACGGTCTTTTTCGGAATGGCGGTAGTCTGATTAAAATCTTTGTCTCGGCGAGTTCTATAAGACTTTTTAAAAATATAAAATGCTTTAATGGAGAAAATTAATGAAAAATAAGAAAAAGTGGTCTCCGATGACGTAGAATTCATTTTTGATGCGGCCCTATTCTTTTTTAAAGAACTACTGTTATCGAATTAATCTATTCCTTCGTCAACTTTTGCTTGATTTGAAAAGCAAAATACCAATTCTAATCAATCTTCACGAATCATTCAAATTATGACTCAACAATTTCAATAAACAGAAATTTACTATCGTCAAATAACAATCAACCTATTTCGATTACATTAAATATAATAAAGTAAATTCTACAATCATTTTTATTATTATTTCTGAAGCTGATTATATAATTTATATACATTCATACATAATATTACTAGATTGTAAGCTAATTTTAAAGATATATATCATCCAAAAATATCCTTTATGTTTCTGAGATGAGAGACTTTAGTGAGAAATGAATGTTGTGTAATTACAATGCAAATCACTACTAACAAAATCTCATCTTCTCCTTATTTTAAAAAACAAACTTTATAAGACCGTTTATTTAAAATAAACAAAAAAATAAACTTTTCTTGTGAAATCCATTTTTGTGCAACATGATAAATCACTGAATAGTATAAGATATTATAATTTTTAAATTAATTGGGAGTGTGTATAGGTTCAATTTGAATTCATTCTTTCGTAATAGCTTCTTTATGGAAGAGACAACGGAGTGAAGAATGATTCATTTAGAATTGATAAGTGTAAGGATTGAAAAATAAATAAAACTGATGAATGTTTATAAAGAACCAATTAGCGATAGATTGAAAATAAAACAAAAAAAAAATCTATAGACAAGAAGAAAAACAAATGATACAAAAAAAAATATGAAAAGAATAATAAAATAACATAAATCATGTGTAGTTTACATTAAATATAACTTTAATCTGAGAGTAAAAAATAAATTCTGAGAAAAAATAACAAAAAAAAAAAATTTATCCTTTTTTGTATGTTGATGCAATTTTGTTTATGATCTTTGTACTTAGTCAATACAGGTTCTCGATTATTCAATTATTTCTGTTGCATTGATATTGAGTTATGAGAAGAAACGTAGAATAAGAAGGGATAAGTGTAGAATAGGAGTGAAGAATCCTTCAGCAGAATGAAGAAAAGAGTAAGGTGGTCAGAGAAGTTATAAGAGAAACAGGATTTATGAAAAATATAAGATGAAGATGAAGAAGAATTTTAGGAGGCAAGTATTAGTAAAAACCAAAAAATAAACAGTTGAGGACTATATTCTTATTTTTCTTATTGCATTATACATTCAATATAAATGAAAATGAGCACAAATGACAAGTTTTTATGAGTTTTGTCGTTTTGAGTGAACTTTTTTTTAATCATCCTTCAGTCGATTCTCGTGGAAACCTTTTTTTGAAAAATCGTATTGCACAAGTTGATTCTATTCTTTTTTTTGGCAAAAAGACCTAAAATTTACGAGAATTTACTGACTTATGAGTATTTATAACCATATCTGTATTATAAAGCAACAGTAACTGTTATAATTGTCGATTTGGAAGTGATTTCATTCCTATCCTTTGATTAGCAATCAATTAATATTTTTCCCCCCTATACAACTATATAGTTTAAGTAAAATCAGGCTTATCTTCACAAAAAATACCAAAAAAAAAATATGTTTACACACTCATCTTTAAATGCTAAGATATCTCTTACATTCATTTAATCACAACCATTACTATGAGTATTCTCGATAGACTTGTTACGCAATGTTTTCCCATAAAACTTTAATCTAGTAAATCAAAACACTTATCTAAGTATCCAGAATAGCAAATAGACGTCCTAGAAAGCCTAGTTCATCTTATAGACGTACTAGCTCAACTATTAAACTTTCTAGAGAACTTAATTAGTCTTCTACACTAAGTTAAACCTTAAAATGTTGTCTTCTAAAAAGCTGTAAAACCTCTATCGAGGATACTCAACCATTTAATATGAAAAATTTAACAAATTAAAAAGAAACTTTCATTTTATTGTTTAATTTTTTCTTTTTATTTTTCTCTACCTTAATTAAAGCATTTTCGTAGAATGCAATGAAAGTTCGCTATGGTGATGCTTGATGGATTGGGGGTGTAAATCAGGTGAGAGTAATGTCATCTGTATGTTTGGTTTTGGGTACGTACGAGACAGTAAGATGCTCGATATTGCTTGTAATCAAAATTTTACTTTAACTTGATGGCAGCATTAACATAACATTTTTAATAGCATCAATAAGCCTTGTAAGTTAAAGTTTAATTTAGTCTCCTAATCCTGGTCAATCAAGATGAATAGCTTGGATTGGTTAAGAAAGGTAAGTGGATAAATCCGTTGTATTTTGTGATCGTCAATCTGCTGAGAGGATTTTTGAAAATTACGACTTTATTTTTGGATTCATCGATGAACCTTCTTATTCTTATAATTTTATCCTAGACTATTAAACTCTGCATGACATTTTTATTATAATTTCTAAGTACCTTACCTCTAATTTTTCTATGTGTGTCTTTAAAAACCAATAAAAGAAAGTTTTTAAAAATTTAAAAGAAATTGTGTTTTGAATTTTCAATAAAAATATTTATTTTAAAAGTTTCAAATTTATTGTAACGGATTTTTGAGAATCAAATTTCTTTCAGCATAAGAAGCTACGCATTATAAAGGTCAAATAAACATAAACAAAATTCATTACACAACATGGATCTGTATCCATCACTCGATTTAAAGCCGTTCCCGAAATTTTCGAGACCAGAAATTTGTGGAGCTTTCTCTGTGGATTCTAATCTACGCTTTCAACATGGAATGGAGCATCTAAAGTACTTGAGTATACCAAAAAAAGTAGATTTTGATTTGAACAATGGAGAGGATAGCTATGTAGAAAAACCGGATGTTGACAACAAAATCAATCATTTATTGAAATTCATGACAGATCATGAGGATGTATTAAGGTCAAATCAATTCAATTTTGTATGCTTTCGAGGACTGTTGAGAATGATTATGTGTACGCCGTACGAATATCGAGAAACATGGATCATTTTGGCGACAAAGTTTAAAGGAACAATTTATTTATGTGCTCAAGAAACTGAAGAGAAAAAGAATGAAAAGTTGAGGAGAACGGATAGAGATAAAAGGTTTATGAGGTATGGACATAAGTTTGAGAATTACGTTTTCGCAAGTCATCCACATGGTGAAGCTCCTGGAAGTAACAAACAAGTTGTAGAGGCTGAAGAGTTTTGTACGATGTTCAATACAAAAATAGGTGGAATGTCTGTCCTTTATGGTGCTGAAATTGATGGAGTGATATCCAAAGACATTGTAGCTACGTTACCTGAATTGAAGAAAGTTCCATTAGTCGAAGTCAAGGTCAAACGAAGGGAATCAAATGAGAGGCAAATACAAAACTTTTACAGATATAAAGCGAGGAATTTCTGGTGTCAATCATTTCTAGTCGGTATAGATAAAGTTTTTGTAGGTTTAAGGAATGACAACGGAATCGTCAATGAAGTCACTTCGTATACACTCAAGGAATTATCTGATCAAGCAAAACAAAAGAATTATTGGCACGGTACTGTGTGCATGAACTTCCTTAATGATTTTCTTCACAAAGTCATGCTCGATATGAAAGATATTGATGATCCTTACACAGTATTTAAGTATCAGTGGGATGCGAGTAAATGTGATTATGTTTCATGTCAGAAAATATGTGATAAATCATTCTGCTTCCTTACGAATGAGTTTATACAGTTTATGAATAATTTATGTTAAATAAAGACGTTTGACTTGGTAATCAGTTTAAGCTGTGATTTTCTTCTTTTGTAAATGTTGATTATTTTATTGGATTTTGAACTTTTGGGTTGTTTCCTTAAGTTTTTGAATGAGATTATGTCCTTTTAAGATATATCTTTGCTGTATGTTCGGGTTTATCATTTTTAATGTCCAGCATTAAAGAGTTTAGGTTAAAAGTTAAAGTTTTTGAGAATATTTGACAATGTCTAGGACTTAAACTTTGTAATCGGAATGAAAGGGTTTAAAATCTAACTTCTGAATGACTTTTAAACAGGATAAGTTTAAAGCATATTCAGAAGCATTACAAAGTAGAAACAAAATTTTATTGTAGCTTTTCATAAAAAGTAAAGTACTCAGTTAGAAACTTATTACTTCATACAATGAAGCTATATTTCAAACTTCCACATGGAAATAATCATAAATTCAAATAAAATCTTTTCGTGCATAAATTTTTTAACAAGTACATCAGAAAGCTCATAGAAAATATAAATGGTCAATGAACTTCAAAAGCTACAAAATGTAATGCATATAAATCAAAATAATTCTGAAACTTTTGAATATATCTTCAAATCTCTTTATGAATTTAAATGAACCTTATTGAGCTCTAATGCTCATAACCAAGATATATAGATGGGCTCATACAGAGTATACTTGACCATACTCGACCATACTATTTTTTGTGTACTTATACAAACAAAATTTTTTAAAATTTTCTATTTTCAAGTTTTCATTTAAATATCGACAGATGCAACAACATTTGACTTTAGTCAGTTACTTTTAATTATAGCAAAGCATTTGCAATACTCCTGTATCAACAAAACTTAACAGAAAGTTGAAAATTTTGCAAAACAAAAATTGAAAATTTTCTTTTATAGTGTTAGTGTTTTTAGAAAATTCAAATTTTTGACGTTTAAAAACTGCGACATTTTTGTATGAGCACATCTATATATCTTGCTCATAACATAGAAAAAATGTAACATGCATTTGATATAATGTAAATATGAAAGGAAAGTAGAACCCATTTCAAAATTATATTATTTTTATTTTTCATAAAAAGTATCCTTCTTTGAAGAGGAGATACTCGCATGGGAAAAAGTTTCTTGAATAAGCCATTTCTCCTTGAGTGACTATTCTCTTATACATTTTTTTGAAATTGAAAACGGAAAAGAAAAACTTTATTGAAAGATCTATCATCATCTTCACTTTATACCCTCATACATTCATACATATGAAGAAGATTCAATAAAATCAACATCTAATGAAATGACATAAAAGTTTTTCTAACACATAAATTGATACAAATCAAATTTTCTTCGTCTCGTTCCTGAACCTTATGACAACAACAACAGCTAAGTAGTAGAAAAGTCCGCAGTGATGACAATGAGGTTGTAGGATATCTAGTTTCTAAGACAATGTAGCTATTGTTTGAATTCTTGTCATTTTGATAATCCTAAGTGATCGGACTGTTCTATGAGTCGGACCCGTGTTCTAACCTAAAATTCAAATATTCTGTCTCTAGTCTAACCAATTAGATAAAGATCAAAAACCTTTCATCGGCAGATTCGTCTGCATAAGTCATGTATATTCTAGGTTCAACTCTGAAACAGCCAAAGGATCATATAAATTCAGGATCTGGTGTTAATTTTTGGGATTGTATTCAAAAACTATTGAAAATTGGATGATGTTAACGAAGAGGGGTTGATATCTAACCCCACAAGTCTGCCCTTACAATGTAAAGCTTAATAGATTAAGGCTCTTCAAAATTAGTTTTAAGAATAGAGTTCAAAATAACAGACAAATTGCCCACACTTGAGCCACTCAATCCTTACCTCAACAAAACCGCTAAAAAAACTGCTCGTCTCATATCTCAATCAACTGACTGCTGCCACTGAAGGTATAGCAAAGAAAAAGTTTTTTTTTTAATGAAATATTCCATAGACAGTATTTCTCTCTATTTCTGTTCCTGGAAGAAAATACGATAACAATTTGAATAAGAGAAAAAATTTATTCGAAGCATCTCCATCAACTTCTCTCTTTCCTTCTTTCATCTATATCTGTAGAAATTCAATTTATTATAATCAAAATGTGAAGGATATACAACAATAACAACAAAATATTTCACATATATATCGACAAACATACATACGAGAGTGACATGAGTTATTTCGAGATTTCCGTAAGCGAGTATTTGATATAGTTGACTATATACAATCTACAAATTGAAAATCAAGTCACGTGAAATATAAAATCAGTCTGGATGAATTCGATATAAATTAATTTTATTTGACATTTATGGACATTTGAGGTTGAAACTATGTAGGATGAGATAATTTTTATTCATTGCCAACGTTGTGATAACAATGGAAATTGATAATGCTTATTAAATGAAATATCCTCTATGTGACTTAACTGAAATATCATGCCATGTATAATCTTCATCTTAAAGAACATTAATCTATATATTGTACATCCAACAAAATGACATAAATCATCGGAAAGTTCTCATATTTCTTCACCTTAAGAGCTTGTTATTGAACACTGTATTTTCTGTCTTATTCAATCGAATTCTGGATTTATATCCGCATTCTCATTTTTCATGCTGAAGGCTAAGGATAAATTGTATTGAAAAGCTAGTTGACGAGAAAGTATGTTACTGAAATTAAAAGAGTAAACACTATCATTTATTTTGTGTTGGATGTGATGTATTGAAAGCTATAGATATTTATTATCATAGCTAATGATGATGCAAAAATGTCTCGAAACTTAAAGATGAACCTTTTATTTTAGGCAGGATTGAGTTTATCTGAATTTTGGAAGTATAGACCTCCTTAAGTTGACTCCATGTATGTTGAAACAACTAGAAGCGATCAAATCTTTGACAAACCATTTGAAAAAAGAATTGCGGATCCTGAATAAGAATCGAACAAATGTTTGAAGATTAGAACCAGTTTAAACAAAGAAAAGAAAAACTAAACAGATATTCTCTTCGAACTAAAGATGCAAACTGAATGCTGACAGACGGAACATCACTTGACATACAATTTGCAAAGAAGGAGACAATACAACAGCAAAAGAAACTTGCAGAAGTAGTTGTTATAGCTCAGGACAGAAACCTGTTCAACCGCTTTATTAACGCCCTACGATTCACAGTGGATCTATAGGCGCTTCTATTTTCAATCATTGGCAATTAAAAGTATTACATATAGAGGTATAGTTAAGGAGATTAAATGGGTCAAAGCCTCTCGCCTTTTGGAAAAATTTCTTCAACGTACTTCAATTAAAACCTTGAAAAATTCCTGGATACGACATTGAATTTTATTTTGCTCGGGAATGTTGTCAGAAGGTATACTAGAGTATAATAGCATCTGGATGATTTCATCACAGCATCATGAGCACACGAATTGTGGCTAGGTAAATTTTAGGGTACATCAGGTCTTTAGACATACTCGTGTCTAAAGACCTGATTACTATTCCTCTTGGATTCCACTATGAACTGGAGATCTAAAAGGTTTGGTACAATCGATTCTGTTCTAATTTGAATTGCAGTGCTATCAGCTTAAAAGACTAGGCTCTCTTCATGCTTTTATTTTGTTGTCAGAAGGTCGAGTTGGTGTAAACTTCTCTATTAATTTGGAATCTATGTATGATAAACACCCACCCTTTTAAACGATTCTTGCTCCAAAACCTGGCATATTATGTCCTATTTGAACAACTAAACGCGCTCGAACACAATGAAAACTAATCGATAGTCACTCTATCATCTAAGCTCTACATCAAAAGACCCAATCTCAGACAAGAAGATAAAAAAAACATTCCGCATTCAACAAACTTCAAAACATCATTATCATTCCTAGATATTCCTTTAATTCAAATCACAGATATAAAATGACAAGAGCAGGAGAAGACGAAGAAAAATGTAAGACACCTGTTGAAAGAATATTTTTTCATCTCCATTAAACTTAATATAGAACATACTTTTTCTCCTCTTCAATGCAAATGACAATTTTTTATTCATTTTTTTTCTCTCTCAAATTAAGGAAGTTTTCAGCATGAATTTTTCCTTTCTCATTCTACATTATTTTTGCATATTGCTTTAAACGATTCATAATTTACCTTTTCCGTTATTTCTTTTTTTTTTGCTTCTCCCTTTTTCAATGTAATTATAAAATTATGAGTTGTTAGGAACACGTTTATTAATTTGAAAGTATGAGCAAGACATTGAAACATTCAACGTATGAATTTGTAATTTAATTAAATCGCAAACAGTTCGCAGTGAATAAATACATTACAAACACATATGATGGTAGGGATTGATGCATAGATGGATGGAGAAGATGCTTTGTATGAATAAATGCAATTTATAAAATCACTCCAAGTCATCCAAAACCGAGCATTGAGAAACGTTTATTGTCTGGACAGCAAACAGAATAGAGTCGAGATGTACCTTAATCAAGTGGATAATTTTCTTCCACTAAGAGCTATATTTTATACAAATACTGCAGCATTCATGTTCAATTGCCTAAAAAAAAGGTATCACAATAATTTAGATTTCTCATTTACCATTCCTAGAAGTTCCAGAGCAAGAAGCTATATAAAGCCGCAAAAATCAAACACTCAATATGGCTCTAGAAGAATTTCTGCAATTGGCCCAAAGATATTTAATGAGCTGCCTGAGAATATCCAAAAATGCCATCACATCTATTCTTTTAAGAGAGCAATTAAGAATCATATTAGGAATGAAGATTTCTTGAATTCCTGCTTTAACGGCAAATTTATCGGGAAATATGTGTAGCGACCTGAAATTTTAAAGTTTTTCACCCTTTTAATTTTTTTGCTCATTTCTGTCTGTATAGACACTTATCTAATGCTCCTTATCGTCCATAAACTGCTTCCTAAATGTTTTTATCTGTTTAATTTGATGTTCACTATTTATTTACTATTTATTGCTATTTATTATGTTTTGTTTACTTTTTTTACCGAGATGATACAAATTTAAGCAATTCTCGAATT